AATTCCACTTTTCTACTCCCCTGTCGATCGACTTCTTTTCCATTTCCTTTAAAAAAAACAGTTTGCTTGATTATTGGTAAAGGTGTCGTAGAAACTAGATCAATAAAGCTACTGACCCAAATGCAAGCGATTTCTTAGCGTATTGTAGTATAGATCTCAATTGTTCTTTTATTATATCAATTTAACTATGTACCACCTTTTTCTGAATTCTGGTTATAATAAACGAAAGCATGAAATTGTGAATCATGTTAGAGCTAAAACTTTTGATAGTATATAAACTCATTGCTATTTCGCAAAGATCGATGAAATAAGTATTTTAAAGGCATTAATGCTATTCAAGCCGCTCTCCACGTAGATTTTGGCTTGCGCAAATTTTGATCTTCTTTTGTTTCAAATTATTCAAATGGTTTAGGCTTCATACGCGCTGATGGTTCTGCGCGATCCGCGTGCGTGCCGCGCGCTGCTTGCGCCATGTACGACATTTCGACGCATTGTTTGGACGAGCGCCGACAATATCACAGTTGTGGTTCAGCTTGTCCAATTAGTTGCTCAACCAGGAATTCGCCAAGGTAGGGGAAGAATCACAAACGGTCAACCATCCAGTAAGGATTTTGGAATATCTTAGTTCTTTTTAGAACTGGTCATTTATATTGCAACATAGCATATCCTAATTAATAATTAAGGCTCATTCTAAAGTTCCTTTGCAGATGCCACGAAAATTGCGTATCTGGTTGTTTCTGCAAAATTCCGTATATTCTTGAGAACGGAAATGATCCTCTGCATTCGAAGTAAGTTTGGCATTAGCGATAATTACTTACGTCTCAAAAATCGACCACTGATTGATTTTAGATGCATTCTTCCATCACAATGTCCGTTATTTACAAGTCGAGAGAATACGGGGACTCCGATGGCGGCAATCATTCCCGTGACTAATCGGGTAAACCTTTTTGTTCTCAAGTATTTTCATTTTTTATATGTGGGAGTGGCTTATCTTTTCACTTTATCTGGAACTCGTATTCTGCTCAGGAACGACTCCAAAAAACTATCACTGGGTTCTATCCAACCC